TCCACAGTCCCTGACTGCATGGCCACAGTGCCCCCAGGCTTCAGCCTTGGTGATCGGGTGGCCAGGCAGGACAGTCTTAGCTAGTCCCAGGGATCAGGCAGGCTGGGCAGCATGGTGGCTGCACTTCCAGTTTATACCCAAGCCCTTTCCATGATTCCCACAATCCAATCTCCTACCATGAACCCACCCACACCCTACACCCCCCCGCCTTGATTCCTGAACACCCACATCCCCAACTCCTGCACTGACTTCCCCAATCTATCCTACACTTATATTTCTTACGGTTGTATCATAACCCCCTCACTTGTTGTTCTGATCCCCTCACAGGGGAGGTTTTGTGATATGACAGTACCTAGTGTTACCTTAAAAATATTTTCACTGGAGACCACCCAGGGTTACACTAGTATGGGTTTATTTCCACTAGGTAAAAGTAAAGAGGAGAAAGCAACCACCAAGCCTCAGCTTAGAGAGAAAAGTCTTTCAAATTTGTATAGCTCAAGACTCCCTTCATGGGCCATTGAAATTGCCTCTTGCTTAGCCTGTGTGCATTTCACATCGTTCCATGTGCCTTATGGGTGTCAAATCTGTAATCTTTTTAACTCCTGCCAGCTAGAGCATAGTCATTAGTTGCTTCCCTTTTGACTGCTGGTCCTTTGTATTCACAGACTTAATTGGAGTTTGTGTAATAAAATACTCCTTCACAGAGTAACTTCATCAGAACCTTGCAAAACATTCTTACAGTACCACAATCCTTTGTAATGGACTGTTTTCTTGCATTACAGGGGGAAAGCCAGATGACATCACCGTCCTTCTTTCTATAGTAGCTGAATATACAGACTGATTTGCCTAATGTCAACGTCTGTTTTCCATTATCTTGGAGTTCCTAGCTTCACATGTACTGTTTCCTGCTGGCAGGATAGATTTCTTTCTTTGCAGCTGATCTCAATGGCCATTACTCAAGCGGGGTTGCCTGTTACGACACAATTGAGATCCTTTAAAAACCACTATTTGCAGTACACTGGTGTTCATCTGCCAGCATGAAATGAAGAAAAAGACATGAAGCTTGTCTCTCAACTTAGTAATCATCCACAAGGTGGGGGAAAACGAGATCCATATGGTTACTACTTCTCAAATATTACTAGTTTCAAATTATTATTGATTGGTTACAATTCAAAATGAAATTTAATAAATAAAATTGATACATTCTCTCCACCAGAGTGTACTACTGTTCTGCTAGAAACATCCGTTATCCAACGAAGGATATGTTACAAAGCATCCTTTCATAAACATAGTCTTGTTACAGTAATAGGTGAGAGTTTGTGTTTATATAATATAAACTCCAGTTTTCAGGGGGTTTATAGCTGCTGTAAACATTTTGCTCTTGGCATACGTGGTGTCAGCCTTAGCAGACTTTTTCTAGTACAAGATTTGAAAAAAAAATAGTTTGAGCTGTATGGATGCCACAAGTGTTTTGTGATTTCAGGTGCTTAATTGTGATCTTATACATGAAAGTTTTGCAAATAATTAGTCCACAATGAGGCCTGGTATCTCTGGATGTTTTGTTTTTTGAAGTGGGGAACTTTTTGTTTAAAAAGGGTTTATTGTGTTAAGTTGTAACTAAAACTTACAAAAGCTAGAATATTCAAAGTTGAGGTTTAGCACAATATCATTAATCTCTGATCAGAATGTATGCTGCAATACCCAAGAATGATGGTTTGCATTAAGAACAGATACTCCTCAACTCTGAACTTTCTTGCTTTTGTTTACAGAGAACATTACTGTTAACTAGACATGGTTTGTGCATTGCCATTCTTGCTTTGTATAAAATAGAATCTGTACCAGTTATTTTGATGCTTGTCTTGCTAGCTCAAAAGTGCACCTCTGCTTATGCTGTCAGCAGCAGCAGTAAGTATACAAATGGAAAATTAGTTAATGAATAATTAGCAGAAGTTACATTTCAGTAACTGATATTTGGGGTTTTCACTATGAACCTTCATGATGTTTACAATTATTAAATAGCCACTTGCAATATAGCATTTCCTTATGAATTTTAGTAGCTCGCAATTGTTTCCCCAGTTTCTGCAACCCCTTTTTCTGAGGTGCATAAGCTGATAGCTGTAAAGATTATATATATTTTTGGTCAGTTTTTCATTAACTTTTTTTGCTGGTAGAAAAGTACTTAGAAATAAATTAAAGCCATGTTTTTATATAAAAGTCAGGTAACGATGTCTAGATGAGTGCATTTACACTTGGTCAGTAAGGAATCTCTCCTTATCTGAAAGGCGATTTTACTACCTGGCTTATTGTATTAAAACTGTTTCAGTTGGAGGAAATCTCAAATTGTTTAAAGAACCCTTTTTTGAGTTGTACTGTATATTTGCATAAATGTATGTTGAGCTCTTATTTTATATAAAAATAACTTAATATGTACCATGTACATGTCATTTTACTGTTTTAATGCATCATGCTTGTAACAGGCATTTCATTTATGAGTGAGTGATTAATTTGGGAGCTATTCAGTAATTTATTTGTATTCATAAATTGGCATAATGTTAGATATATTTTAAATCATCTTTAATTACTTGTCAAAATGCCTTAACTACCCTAACTTGGCCAAAATAATAGTAGTTTGGTGGGGGTATGGGAAGAATTAATGAAAACACCATGTGAGAGGTAGACAGCTTTGCACAAACTGTAGTCCCTTTAATCTTTAAAATTTGAACAAGCTGTATCTAGGTACCTTTTTGTTGGAAGGAATGTATTTGTGCTGCATAGGGCTTCATTTTTAGTGTTTGAGGAATGTCTCAAATCGGGACACTCCCTACACTAAAGTCTTCAGTATTTTGTCACAATTCCTTGTTAGAGCAGACTAGATCAAGTACAGATTTTCCTATTCTTGAACTTACTCTGATATGCCCCGGTAGAGCTGAACTATTTCCTCACTTTATATTCCTGCCAGTGTTCTCTGTTCACTATTTTCTATAACTACAAATTAGGGTATGTATGTGGATCAGATAAATGAGTAGCAAAGGTGCTTCCCTTCCACCCCCTAAGCTCAGCTGTGACTGTGCTCTGCCCTCTACTGATCCAGGGTCTGGAATCCTAGGTCATAGAAATCCAGCTGTCCTGGTAGTGACTGAACTTTCTCTACTCATGGGTCTGATTCTAAATCTTGTTTTTGTGTTAATGCAGTTTTTAGTCAATATAAAGACATTTGCCTCATAGATCATGATTTTTTTTATAATGAACAAATTTGGTTTTTAATTTACAATTTGTAAATTTATCCCTCACTGGACACACCAAAGACCAGCAAAGTTTATAGCTTTTTCCATCTGTTAAAGCAATACTGTATTATAAAGAGTTAATATTTTTATCACATGCTTGAGAATTTTGTTTTTTGTTTTAAGATGTGCACTCTAAACATATCAACCTAATTTCTTCCTATGAATTTAAGCTGTCTGCGCACAACAGATATTTATAGTAAAGGAAATGACAGGACTCAAGTAGTCAAAGTAACCTTAAAATGATGCATGAAGCAGTAATCATTCCTAGGAATTAGATTATTATAATTTTATCATGAGAGGGGGACACAGGAAAAACATTTCAGGAGTATTCATTTGAGTTGGAAACATGAAAGGTGGAACAGGTTTACCAGTCTGAAAAGTTTTACTCTGTGTCAACAGTTGCTTGGTGGGGAACAGTAATTGGACTAAATGTAAAAGCTTTATATACTAGTAACTTATCACACCAAGTATTGCAACAGCAATTGCAGGACCTAGGGTGTCTGCAGGTGAGAGGTCTAGAAAATATGAAATGAATACTCTTCTTAAAAGGATTGAAATGTCCATGGTTCCTTGTCACTTTAATAGCTATCTTTGGGAGAGCTGCAACATCCAGTTTCTCTTAAGAGTTGCTACTTTTGCATTTATTAAAAAAATGGGGGAAACTGTTTTGAGTTTGGGACCAGATTGGATAACAAAACTTTCTGAAGAGGGATGTAAAGGTGTAGCAAAGATGATGTAAGTATTTTGTAATTGGAATTCATATCTCTTGGTAATAGGTAACTTCTCAGTGGAAAACCAGACTATGAATGTGTAGAAGTTGACTGTATGTAGTAGTATCTAACAAAGATAGCTGACATAATAAAAGAAATCTGAGTCTGTATCTAATGAGGATGCTTTGTTAGACTATCATTTTACCTATACTTACCTAAGAGGCAATTATGTGAATTGGATGTCTGAAGTATGCAGGAATAGTTCTGTAAATACATTTAAATGAATTGTAAAGATATTTAATAAATATAGTATTTATACTAAAATGTGTGGCTTTAAAGTAACTTACTTCGAGTTTACTTTCCATTTATGCAAAGAGTGCTATTGTGTATTACACAGGAGCCCAGCCATTGAGCCTCAACTTTGGAGTATGTCTATTATGTTTTAGTTTTCACATGTTCTGTTCTAGTTTTTCGCTTATACCAGCAATAACAATCCTATAGTCAGTAATATCCTTCTGAAGAAGTAATGTTACTTTGCATAGTGATAAGCAGGTTCAAATAATATTTCTTACATTGCTGAGAGCCTAACATTTGCAATGTCTGCACATTAAACAACTTTCATTTTTTAGTCTTTCCAGCACAGCTATGGACAACCCCCTACCAAGCCATCTGGCTCACCTAGAAGCCAACTTTTTAAAACTGTTCCATACATGTATAAAATATGTTTGTTCCAATCTTCTGAGTCCTATATTGCAATAAACTGCAATACTCTGTTCTCTCACTCAAATTAATGGCACCAGCCACTTCCCTTCAGAAAGACTAAATTAATCCGTGTATGGCTATACACAAGCGTTCCACCCAACTTTGCCAAACAGTCCTAAAGAATCAATTCCTATGCAAATGTTTTGGAATAAAACTGTATAATCAACATTTGTCACTTTTGGCATTTGGTAAAGATGTCAAATTTGTCTAAAACTACACAAATTCCCACCCTCTTCATTTGCTATATTGAAAAGACAGAGCTATGCCCATTCTTATGCAGTGAAGCAATCTTAAGATGAAAATGGTGATCTCTGACTACTGTTTAGTACACTGCTATGGGTAATGGATTATTACTGGGATCAAACAATCAAATTTATTCTGATTTCTATTACAGAGTTCTAAAATGAAACTTTTCTAATTCACTGTATCTTGTTCACATACTTGACTTGTATATTGGAGGGCGGATTTTGTAAACTAGTAGATTAAAATACTAATTATAAAAATTCATTGCAAGGTGTGAAAATGCAAACTTATAGTCAGTTTTACACCTAAATGTCAGTTTTTCAAAAATTACTGGTAATTATTTTGGCAATAAATAAGAATAGCCATACAGGGTCAGACCAAAGGTCCATCTAGCCCAGCATCCTGTCTGCCGATAGTGGACAATACCAGATGCCCCAGAGGGAGAGAACACAACAGGTAATCCTCATGTGATCCCTCTCCTGTCACCTATTTCCAGACAAACAGAGGCTAGGAACACCATTCTTATCCATCCTGACTAATAGCCATTCATGGACCTAACCTCCATGAATCTATCTAGCTCTTTTTGAACCCTGTTAAAGTCCTAGCCTTCAGCACATCCTCTGGCAAGGAGTTCCACAGGTTAACTGTGTGCTGAGTGAAGAAACTTCCTTTTGTTTTTTTTAAACCTGCCTATTAATTTCACTTAGTGACCCCCAATTCTTATATTGTGGGAATAAGTAAGTACCTTTTTCCTATTCACTTTTTCCACACCAGTCATGACTTTACAGATCTCTAACATATCCACTCTTCATCTCCTCTTTTTAAGCTGAAAAGTCCAAGTCTTTATTCTCTCTTCGTATGGGACCCATTCCAAACACCAAATTTGTTGCCTCTTCTGAACCTTTTTTTTCCAAAGCCTGTGTATATTTTTTTGAGATGAGGTGACCACATCTGTACGCAGTATTAAAGATGTGGGCATACCATGGCTTTATACAGAGCAGCCCGGGGGAAAAAAAATACCAGGCCTCAGCATGGTGGGCTGGGAGGAGGTGTGTCTAGGGAGGGGGGAAACCGGCCGCTGGGAAGCATAGTTGGGGGCAGCAGGGCAGTCTGCTGGAGATCGGGGCAGGCGGCAGAAGCAGGGCTGGGCAGGGGGTTTGGCTGGGGGAGAGTGGGAGGAGAACCAGCCTTCGGAAGGAAGGCCATACCCTCCCTTGAGTAGTTGCGAACTGCCTGGCTGGTAGACACACACACAGCATGAGCACATCTACCTGCCAGGCAGTTCACAGCTACGGACTGATACACCTAATAATAATGCATACCTAATTAGAAAATACTGGACATTTTATATGTCCAGTATGTTCTCAATTTGTTTCCTGGACAGAACCCTCAAATTCTGGACTGCCTGGTACAAAACCAGACACCAGGCAACCCTACCCCTCTTTGCACCCTCCCTCCTAGCCAGATACCCTACCCCCAGTCTGCTCTTGCTCCCGACTTCTGGAGTGCCCATCCAGCGCCAGATCCCCCAAGCCCTGGCCCAGGGTGGAGGATGCAGCCGGGTGAAACACTGAAAATTTATTCATTTTTAATTCTTTTTTTTATATGCATGTATATCTTTGGGTTGCAAAAAACAGTACTGAAAAAAAAACCGGGTTCCAACTAAAATAAACAGTTTGGTAAACACGTTGTCTAGCCAGTTTTCTATCCATCTTATAGTTCATTTATCCAATCCACACTCCCTTAACTTGCTGGTAAGAATATTGTGGGTGACCGTATCAAAAGTTTTGCTAAAGCTAGCACTGGGGGCTTTGGGAGGACCAGAAACAACATATTTGAATATTCGTCATTTGCGTAATGAATATGCAAATATGAAAATGAATGTTACTGGTCCTCCAAAAGCTTGTGAATGGATTTACTGGTCCCCATGTCAAAAAGTTTGGGAACCCCTGATAGAGGCAATAAGATATTCTGTCTTATTCTCTCTCTCTCTTTTTAAATTATTCCTAATATTCTGTTGGCTTTTTTGACTGCTGCTGCACACTGGATGTTTTCAGAGAACTATCCAAATAAATGTGTTTGGCTGTACTAGAATGAAAGTATCAGGTAGGGGTAGCAAATCCATGCAGTGTCACATGTATAGTCTTAATTCTCTTGAAGCAGTGTACTCAGTGGTTCAGGTGACTGACCAATTAAGGATCCTCTAGCATGTGAGCTCTAATCCATTTTTAGGTCTATCAAATGTACCTAACAATCTAAGATTCTTAATCCAGCATTACACCAGTATTAAATTATGAAAATTTCTACTAAAAAGATGACATCCATACAACTAGCTACACAGAATGGTATTGACAGATGATGAAAATGCTCTTGTATTTAAAGTTTTTGGATGTGTTTTACACATTTGAACTTTCACAACAATTGGAATACAAAATATTTACATGTTAACCTGTGAATACAAACACTAAAATTAATTTTAAAGTCTTAATTAGTTCTTTTCTACATTAAAAGGGGTACCTATACAACAAGCTGATTGTTCACTTGTGAGCTGAAAACTCTACCCTGCTTAGGTGTTAAGTTGAAAAGCACTAACTGTAGTAATAGTCTAGAACAGTGGTGGGCAAAAGGGCCTCTGTGGGCCACATCCGGCCTTCCAAGCAAGTTGATCCAGCCTACGGAGGCCCTGCTGCACCTCCTGCCCCCCGGCCCATCAGGGTCTTGGGAAGCGGAGAGAACTGCATGAAGTCTCCTCTCGCCTACCAAGGAGCATATGGTGGCGCTCCTGGCAGGGTGAAAGGAGACTTCATGTGTACTTTCCCGTCCCCAAGCTCTGACTGGCTTGGGGGCAGAGGGATAGAGCATGCGAAGTCTCCTCCTACCCTGCAAGAGAAGCTCTGCGCTCTCCTTGAAGGATGGGGGCAGGGTGGGAGGAGACTTTGCATGCTCCCTCTGCCCCCAGGCCAATCAGGGTTTGGGGGTAGGAGGGGAGAATGTGATCTCTTCCTGCCCTGCAAGGGGCTCAGCACTTAGTCAACTGCCAGTTGCTGCCCAGTTGGTTTTCCATTGCAGGGCGGGAGCAGGGAGCGAGAAACTTCATGTGCTCCCCCTTCTCAGGCCCTGATTGACTTACGGGCAGGGGCACAGGTACCTAGGTGGTTTTCTGGGAGGGGATGGGGGGGGGAGAACAAGACTTCGCATGCTCCCCTCTTCCCCCCCAGCCAATTGGTCTGTGGGTGGAGAAGCATGGAAGTCTCCTGGCCCCTCCTGGGCCCCCACTAAAAAATTATTGCTCACTCCAGTCTAGAATATAAAACAGCAGTTTCTATTGACAGTTCTCATTTCTGTGTAATCTAAAAATAGTAGAAAACCCAGGGAAATTTCTGTAAGAAATGTTGCAACAAGTTTCTTTGTAAAATAGTCCTTTAGCTATTAAAATATACCTTTAATACCTAAAGACAATGTAAACATTTTTGCAAAGTTTGTACATGTACTACGTATCACTAGACTGCTTGGGAGAGCTGCTCATTGTCAAAATCTTCTTCATCATCACTAGCTGTGGCCAAGCTATGGAGTGTGTAGCTGATGGTATCTTGCTCCTTTAATGAAATTGCTCCAAAGAAAAATGAATGAAACTGGAAAATGCAATATATAAAGTGAGATTTTATACATATAAAATATTCCTGGGATGATTTTACTTCTGATTTAAGTTCTTTTGGCAAGCACATTTAAAAAACAAATTGTATAACAATGTACACGAATACATTTGGCATTTACAATTATTTCCCGCTGTCAAAGGTGTAACAATATGTTAATTTGTCTACTGATTTAATATCAACCACTATAATTTAGTATTTCTAAACAAATTTGTAAGTCTAAATATGGGAAAAGAGTTCAGATTAGAAATAAATTCAAACCTCTGATGAATTCTTAACAGGGGAAAGTTGTGCATTACTTCAATCCTAAAGATGTGGATTTATTTAAAATATTATGTAAATGAAATAGCAGAGAGATGTTTGTGTGCAGCTGTGGCTTGCATAGGACAAAGTTTCTGAATATACACCACTCCTCCATATCCACTTTAGTGTATGCTAGATGGAAAAAAAGCTACTGCCAGGCCTGGTCTTCCCAGCCTCTGGAAACAGGGCTACTGCTAAGCCTTTTCAGAGAGAGACAAAGGAGAGGGGTAAGATGGCAGAAGAAATAATTGAAAAGCCCTTCCTCCCCAAGATGAGGCAGCTGATACTGTATCAAGTACACTTGCCATTTTGTGAAGACCTCTCATGTCCTTGATTTTACTGCTACATTTTTCCAGACATTACAGATTGAACCTCTTTTGTCTGGCACCTTGGAGCCCTGACCTGTGCTGAACCAGAGAATTTTCCAAATCATGTGAGGTCAATACTTTCTAACAGCATTATCACTTCCACTGGGATGGTAGAAGATATAAATTAGAGCTAAATAATAGCATAGACTACTTTGTCACCAGTCCTGGCTCAAACTTTATGGGGACTACAGGAAACTTGGCCATATCCAACATTTGACATCCAGCTAACAAATCATGCTGGACCATAGATATTGACCAGACAGTGCCAGATTAGAGAGGTTCAACCTGTTCAACTGTGGAGCCACCTAATGTCTTAAAGTAGACAAGGCAAAAACTCTGGACAGTTGTTTGCTAGCATGTGTTCCTTGGAGATGGGAGGGCTGATTAATGAAGTTGAACTCTTAGGGTTGGCAATGCAGCATATCAAAGTTGATGTCCTGTGTCCAGGAGCCCAGACAAATATCAGGATCCTGCAAAGGCATGAAACAGAATCCTTACCCTGACACCCCCATGTCCCTGTGCTGGGATGCTGCCTAACTCTCTCTGCTAACATCTGACAGCCTCTACCCACACCAAAAGTGCCCTCTGTTTATTAAGAAATAAACTGCCCCCTTCCCTGCTGGCTGCAGAAGTGTATCAGCTCTGGTGGCTCCCTAGCCAATGTGGTTTGCACTGTGGTAGAAGCAGCCAGTTAGGCTTCCCACACCAAGCAGTGCCTTCTGTGGCTGGGAGCCATGTGCAAGGGTGAGCCCCCACATGACACCACCATTTATAATGCTTGCGGTCTGGAGGACTACACAAAAATAAATGGGGGGGGAGGGAGTGGGTGTTGTCTAGTAGCCAGAACTAGAGTCCAGTTTGCAATAAAGATGGCAAGCAGCCAGAGAAATAGAGCTATCTGGAGAACAGCTCAGGTTTGAGCAATTAGATAATCACAGAAGCAGTTGCAAGCCACCTAACTCTCTGGCACACAATGGATGAGAAGGAAGATATTGAAAAGGAGAAACTGCATAATGGGAACTTGGGGAAGCAGAGCATAGCACAGCAAACTATTCTCACTAAAAAAAATCCCAACCCTATAAATTAATTCTGTGGTCAATAAGCATTTTCAAATGTGAACCACAGGAAGGTTTGACAGAAGCAAGAATAAAGGGCATTGTGGGGCAGTAGACTGAACTATCATTGACACAGAATTTGGTTACAATGTATTGCAAAGTAAATAAGGACCTGTTTATAAGGGAACTGTTTAACTAGATTCTACAAATATTGATCACCGTACTATTGCACTGAACTTGACTAAAACAGCAATTTATATAAAACTGAACAGTCTAGTGTGGCAAATGGGACTACATGTAATTAAACTACAGGCAGTCCCCGGGTTACGTACAAGATAGGGACTGTAGGTTTGTTCTTAAGTTGAATCTGTATGTAAGTTGGAACTGGCGTCCAGATTCAGCCGCAGTTCTGACTTACATACAGATTCAACTTAAGAACCCCAAGTCAGCTGCTGCTGAAACTGATCAGCCGCTGATTCCAGGAAGCCCGGGGCAGAGCAACTGTGCCCCGGGCTTCCTGTAGTCAGCGCTGGTCAGTTTCAGCAACGGCTGACCTGGGGACGCCCCCCCCCAGCAGACCAGGGACACGGGGAGCAAAGCCGCAGCAGCGGGGTGCCTCGCCTCTGAGGCTTTGCTCTGGCGCAGGACTCGCTTTGCTCCCGGTACCCCTGGTCTGCTGGGGACCGTCTCCAGCAGACCAGGGGCACCGCGAGCAAACCGGCAGCCGTGGCGGGGGCCCGCGCTTCTGAGGCTTTGCTCTGGCGCAGGACTCGCTTTGCTCCCGGTACCCCTGGTCTGCTGGGGACCGTCTCCAGCAGACCAGGGGCACCGCGAGCAAACCGGCAGCCGTGGCGGGGGCCCGCGCTTCTGAGGCTTTGCTCTGGCGCAGGACTCGCTTTGCTCCCGGTACCCCTGGTCTGCTGGGGACCGTCTCCAGCAGACCAGGGGCACCAGGAGCAGCTTTTCTCGCCCCGGAGGTCAAGGTGGCTGACCACTGCCTGTGAGCTCTGGGGCGAGAAAGCCCCGTTCGTAAGTGCGGATCCGACATAAGTCGGATCCGCGTAAGTCGGGGACTGCTTGTGCTAAAAAGTATGATTTTTCTGTATGGGTAAAACTAATTTTTCTTTAGTTTACAATGTAGATTTAATTTGCCATTCTTCTTACCTTGTACTGATCAGAGTATGTGGGTATTACTTCTTCCACAATTTTAATGTCACCTGCTGCACTCATGTCCAATACTTCTATGTTCTTCATGTCTTTCTTTGAGATTATGGGAATAGTATCTTCTTTTGACAGAGAGTTCCTACATACTTCAGGTGACTGTGTTGCTATGGTTCTATTCCAACAAGGCTTTTTTGAAGCTACTGTCTCTGTATTACTATCATCTGCAGAATTGTTTGGGATGTTTTCAGCATTATCTGCATGGGCCTTCATCAAGGTAGGCCTGACGGATTAACAGACATGTTAGTACCCTGACTGTAAACCACAGAAACAAACTCATACTACCAATGACTAATGAAAAGCATGATGACTTTAGGACTAGACTTTCATCTAGCGCATGGGTGAGCAATAAAATGACAGCACTGCTGCTATATTTACCTGTACCTCTGCCAGTCTGGATGACTGCAGCTCCCATTTGCTGTAGATTGCCAATCCTAGCCAATGGGTGCTGCAGAAAGCGTTGTAGACTGGGACACTGCTTCCCTCAGCTCCCATTAGCCTGAACAACAATCTGTGGTCAACGGGAGCTGCAATTCCCTGTATCTGCAGAGGTGCAGGTAAATATAGCAATGGCAGCCCGCCAAAGGCTAACCATGGGGAACTGGATCCAGCTTGTGCGGTGGTATTTGTCCACCCCAATTTAGTGCGACCTTCTCCCCCAGCTAAACTTTTTCCAGCCCATGCAAAACTGACAGCTATTTGTTCTGCTGAGAATCTGTGCTGCTGGTTTCTCCTTTACCCCAAAGGAAGAGGGTATTGCATGAAACTGAAGGGTGTGTTTGAGAAGAGAAGGTGAATCTACAGGAAGCCATTCCCCACAAAATAGAAATAGGCAAAGATATGAAAACACAATGAAAAAGATGACATGCAATTCAAACAATGTTTTAAACACCTATTAGCTGTCAGAAATTATGGTGAGAAGGGCCACAAAAGTATTGGAAAGATATTTGTACTCTATGTAAGAGAGGCAGAAACTAGGAAAAAGACTGTTCTGAACTCATAATTGGTGTACCCTCTTAGGTCTCAAATTGTCATGTCACCTATTCATCTGGTAAAGCTCCTTAATCTGAACTTGATTATTCCTTTAATTTAATAAACCATTTCACTTGTGTGAAAATGCCCTAATAGCACATATTACGACAACTGCTGTAGAGAAACCAAAGTACATCTCTTCCCTTCTGCCTTAAATCTAACATAAAAGGAAATTGAAAAATAATTTTAAAAAAAGGACAATGACTTTTGAACTTTTAGGAGCAGAATATCAAAACAAATCTTGCATTACCTTTTCTGGTTTTGTGAAAGGCATAGAGGTTGTTGAGAGGATTCCCTATTTTCAGTGTCAGCTAATGTAGCCAAAACAAAGCTGGCTTCCACCATCATGTCCTCAACACTGAAAGCAATTGGTCTAAAAATGTAAAATCAGAGACTGAATTATATGTGTAAACATATATATGTGAGGGACTTCTGGGGAGAGGAAGAAAGCTAGTTCACTTCATATATTTATACAGATATACACATGTACACAAATATACACACACAAAGAGGCTTGTTAGAGAGAGAACTTTATTTCTGTTCACTACTTTATTTATATTCACTACTGATTTAAAAAACATGAGAGACTTGCTTCCCATTATAGTTTATATACTGCAGTGAGTAAATCCTATGGAATTTTGTACTTAAAATAATTTAATACCAAACAAGCTTCCATGCTTGCAGACAATTACACAAACTCCAAATTTAAATTAAAAAAAGTTTCCTTAACTATTCCCAGAAAAGGAAAATGATGACCTAATATTCAAAATAGGGATGTTACATTTCAATTAATTGACTAATCGAATAGTTGATGCAATTTGCATTGACTATTCTATTAATTGATAAGGGTGCCTCTGCCTTTGAAGTGTAGAAATAGCACCAGGGCTGTTGCTACACCTCAAAGGCAAAAGCACTGAGGGGAGCAAGGGGCCAGCGGGGCAGTCCCTCACTGGCCCTGTGCTCCCCATGGTGTTTAAAAGTGGGCAGCAACCATGGAGCTTGGGACCAGCTGGGTGCTGCCGCTTTGAAGCACCCCTTTTTTCTTTCCCCCTTGCTGCCTTTTTCTGTCAGAGACAGCAGGGGGGGGAAATGACTAATTGACTACCGTGGAAGGATGTTAAGTATTGGGTAATTGGTTAATTGAATAGTCGATGCATTTTGCATCAACTAGTCGATAAGGCGCCTCTGCCTTTCAAGTGTAGCAATAGCCTGTTGCGGAGCCCATGAGGCACTGTTTTTTGAGGTATCGCATCTTCCCTCCTCCTCTTGCTGCCTCTATCTGATAGAGGTAGCAAGGGGGGGAAGCGAGTACTCAACTATTCTGTTGACCATCCAATAAGCATTTGCTTCTCAGATAGTCAACTACTAGACTAGTTGTTCACATCCCTAATTCAGAAGCATACTGAGTAGGGATGTTAGAATGCTTTTATTTAGGTAAATGTGTAACCGCTGAAAATTTCAGCAGTTACATGTTTACACAAAGGAAGAAGGAGAGATGGCTCCCCACGCACATTGGCTCCTGCCTGCTCTCCCTGCACTGGTGCCTTTGTATTGAAGGCAGCAGTGTTGGGGTGAGAGGGTGGAAAGAGGGTGATGAGGGTGCTGGTATGCACGGGGAGCCAACTAAAGAGGTGTCTCCTCACACATATCAGCTACTGTCTGTCCTTCTCTCCCATGCTGCTAGCTCTGATACAGAGACAGTGACAGGGGAGAGAGGTTACATGTCACCATAAAGGTTAACCGATGAACCCATGCTTATCAGTTAACTGTTTACAATTTCACATTCCTGGTAAAGGGAATGGTTCTCTTTACTTCACTGGGATCATGAGTGCTCAGCAATCCAGAAAAATCAAACAAATTATGTTTTGCATTAATTCTATCACATAAAAATAAGATCCTTAAATCGGATAACAAACTATTGGATTTTTTCATTACTTTAGTTAATTACAAATTCAGCTCTTAATAAATGAATGCTATTAGTTATTTGAAGTGGAATCACTTTCCTGATAGACCGTAGAATTTTAAAGTTATAAACACCAGAGTTACAAACTGACCAGTACCTTTATTTGGAACCGGAAGAATGCAAACAGACAGCACCAGAGACTGAAAAAAGCAAATATAAAACAGTCCTGATACATGTAAACTACTATTAAAAGAAAAGGATGGTGGGGGGAAAAGTTTAAAAAAAGATTTGACAATGTAAGGAAACTGGTTTTGGTATGTTTCAATTAAATTAAGATGATTAAAAGAAGCATTTTTCTTTGGCATAGGAAAGTTTCAAAGCTGTATTAAGTCAATGGTCAGCTGTAAATATCTGAAAGAACAGTATTTTGTTTACAACTATGGATATTTCTGAGTTACAAATAACCTTCATTCCACATGTATTCGTATCTCTGAGGTTTTACTGTAATGGTTAAATATTACTCATAAACCAGACTGTAGATGAAAACTGAATGCAGAGTTTTTACTAATAGTTTACTGTATTTAGGTTCCCAAAAACTTACTTTCCAGACACGTCAAAATGAATTGAGACAGTAGCATTAGTAGCCTCTGCAAATGCTAATAGACCCTACAAATGGAAAAAAAAGACTATTAAATAGGGATGTTAAAAATTGTGTAATAGGGTAACTGTGTAACCGCTGAAAATCTCAGTAGTTACAAAGTTACCCACGCTACAGGTTCTGCAGTATAAAGCTTAGGTTTATATTGCAAAGGTTGCAGCAAAGCCTCCCCAACAGCAGGGCCACCAGCCCCTGTTGGTCTGGCTCCCAGGGAGATGGCTTTTCTGTGGCAGCAAAGTCTCCTCTCCAGGAGCAGAGCCATCAGGGAAGCCTCCTCCCAGGGAGAGAAGTAGGCAGCCCTTGCCCACCCTGCTTGGGGGGAGGAGGCTTTGCTGAGTGTAACTGACACCAATAACTTATAAGCATCTGCTTATTGGTTGAATGGTTAGTGGTTTACACTCAAAAATCCCTAGTACTGAGCACTACATTTTTTAAACATTTATCTCATGGGTTAATTTTCATGGATTAGGAATACCAATCTACTGTTACATGTCTATGCTCTGAGATTTTCCCAGAAATAATCACATCCACATCTAGTATGAGATGCATCATTATAACTATAGATCATAACATCCTCAATAAATGTATAATAAATTAATTATTATACAAACCTCAAGATTTTACAAAAAAATTATCTTCAATTCTCGAATATACCTTTTGAAGGTAAACCTTCAGTGCTAAAAGGAAGCTTGCTTTTTTAATTACTCCTCAGTCAGGTAATAAATACCACTGTGCATGTGAGGCCATGTACAAAAGCTATCTTAGTGAGAGTCCTGCAGTAACATAGTTAAACATTATATATACTATGCAAATAGCCTACTATCAAGAACATTTTATTTGTATCTTTACCCTCAGTTCTTTAAGGCAAAATGTTACTTCAGAGTCTACTCCAATTTGAAAATAGTCAAATTCATCTGGATTAAGATGTATTTTAGTGTGCATTGTCTTTGAAAAATCTGTTAAAAATTAAAAGAAAGGCAAGGATTAAAATCAGAAAGTGACATTCTAGCCCCAGAATCAGTGGGACGATAATAGCATTTAGACCCATTTACTAGACCCAATGTAAATGTACCATTTATAGACCCAATGTAAATATACACTGATTTTGATATTAATAATTATGAAATAATATCAGCTAAAACATACTTCCATGAGTAATCCCTAATGGAACAGTTACAATAGAAAACACAGAGCATTAGAAAAAAAATTCCAATAATTCCATCTAATCAAAGAGGAACAAACCACTTCTTAAATTAATATTAAGCTTATCGAACAACTAAAAAGAATTAGCAATCAAACAGGAAATTACTGTCTTGACAATATCATGAGGAAGAGCTGTAAATCAGACATCAAAGTTGTTTTAGGTAAAATACTTTTAAATGCTCTGGTTAATGTAATGGTGACCCTAACAATATTAGTGTGTATATATATATGTACAGGCAGCCCCCACACTTACGACCTATGGTCTCTCAGAACTGTCATAAGTTGAATCCTTATTGCCCATAGGGCCAATGTTATGAATGGGGGTTCTATTCCTGGCCACTTTGCCTCCTGGGAGGAGTTGTCTCCTGGAACCAGAGGTGCGAATGGCACCATGAGTTGGCCGGGGGCTGTGTTAGGTGGTATGTGGTGCGAGCTGCTCCCAGAGCTGGCTGGGGGCTGTGCCGGGTGGAGGTGGTGGCTGGAGCAGGGCAGTCATAAATGTGGGGGGTCATAAGTTGGGTGGTCATAAGTTGGGGGTCGCCTATATATATAATTTAAATTCTAGAAGTTATCATAAATGACCTGGAAGTTAAAGACGTATTTTTGATTATTTAAGTCAGCATAAATCTTTTAGACTATTACTTATAACAACTTGTAATGCTGATATTGAATGATTTTTAGTGCACCCTAATTTTTTTCATCCTATGGTTTGATCCTGAAGTCCCTTTTGCTAAGTCCCACTGACTTCAGCGTTCATTAGGAGTTCATGATAAAACCTGTGCTCAGCAACTTTTATTTAAAAGTTTAAAATGTAAACATTCATAGGGAGGCAACATATGAGGTCTCTTTTTTAAAACAGACTTAATCATAGTTGATAGCTATCTGACAACTCACAAAATGTAGGATCTATAATGTGCAAATAAAGGCAGGTCTAGGGAGGAGACATCATTCTTCCCTCTCAAACACCAGGCCATTTTTCAGGATTCATTTTTTTATATAGATAGCCATGCCATCATTAATTGTATCATCGATTCAAATAAATACTGTTTTGATTGCAAAAAATTATATATAAAGAATGTGGCTTAATATGTTCTATTAAGCAAATGTTTTATATATAATACAAACAAAAAAGTGGTACTGTGTCTCTTCTCCTTTGTCCCATCCTTGTTTCTCTTCCTACTCCCCTTTGGTTCTGTATTATGATGCATCTTTATGAAGCTTTTCCCCTCAAACTATTCATCTTCTTTAAATGCATGCTTGTTTCTCAAAGCCTCTCCTTCAAGATGGAATCTATTTTCTCTTCTCCATTTTACACTCTACTCCATTTCTGCCATTTGTGGCTCTCTGTCTTCCTATGGTCCTCCCAAACATCAATCACTCCTTCTGTTTACAACAGCATATTTTTCTTTAACTACACCATCAAACAGTACCATTTTAGTAAGGATGCAAAAATGTGGAGGTCTTACTCTGCAAAGCAGTGACAAGTATTCACGGGAGACAAAGTGCATTAGAAAGGAACAATCAGTTGCACACACAAAAAATGGGAAATGACTACCTAGGAAGGAGTATTGCAGAAAGAGATCTAGGCGGGCATAGCAAACCACAACCAAATATGAATCAACAGTGTGGCACTGTTACAAAAAAGGCAAACACCAAAAGTGTTGTACACAAGACAAGTAATTCTGCTCTATTCCACACACTGGTGTCCAGTTCTGAGCACCACGTTTCAGGAAAAATGTGGACAAACTAGAAAAAGTCCAGAGAAAAGCAACAAAAATGACGAAGTCTAGAAAGCATGACTTATGAGGGAAGACTGACAGAACTAGGTTTACTTTGTTTGGAAAAGAGAGGACTGAGAGAGGCCATGATAACAGTGTTCAAGTACCTAAAGGTTTGTTACAATGATGAGACAGAAAAATTATTTTCCTTAACCTCTCTTGATAGGACAAGAAATAATGATCTTAAGGGACAAGGGAGGTTTAGGTTGGACATTAGGAAAAATGTCCTAAATGTCAGGCTGGTTAACTACCGGAATAAATTGCCTAGGGAGGTAGTTGAATCTCCATCACTGGAGATTTTCAAGAGTAGGTTAGACAAACACCTGTCAGGAATTGTCTAGCTGGTTCTTGGTTTTGCCATGAGTGCAGGGGGTTTGCCATAAGTGCAGGAACCTTTCATAGTTCCTTCCAGTCCTATGATTTAAAATTTTCCTCCTCAAAATTGATCACCCCACCCTAAAACTAAAACTGTGCACGTGAACAATATGCATGAGAACAGAGTTATATCTTCAAAATATTTCCAAATCAGATGCCTGGAAAACTCTTTCTGCATCTTACATTCTCAAACAGTAGTACATAACTTAACACTACGGCTACGTCTACACTGGCCCCTCTTCCGGAAGGGGCATGTAAATTTCACGAGTCGTCGTAGGGAAATCCGCGGGGGATTTAAATATCCCCCGCGGCATTTAAATAAAAATGTCCGCCGCTTTTTTCCGGCTTTTAAAAAAGCCGGAAAAGAGCGTCTAGACTGGCCCCGGAATAAGAGCCTCTGGAAAAGGGCACTTTTTCCGGAGGATCGGGGCCAGTCTAGACGCTCTTTTCCGGCTTTTTTAAAAGCCGGAAAAAAGCGGCGGACATTTTTATTTAAATGCCGCGGGGGATATTTAAATCCCCCGCGGATTTCCCTACGACGACTCGTGAAATTTACATGCCCCTTCCGGAAGAGGGGCCAGTGTAGACGTAGCCTACCAGACCAGCTGAAATGCAACTGCTTCATGCATTATCTTTCAGAACTATGCTCACTCCTTATGATGGCAATTACAATTATATTATTCATGTTTAAATATTTATCTCCGTTCTAAATACAAATCTTTCTTCCTCCTCCTTTCTCAGTATGTTGCTGTTTCTTTACAGCTATAGTAGAATAATGAACTCAGTTCAAGACTGCAGCAATTTTAACTCAACGTACTGCTCTAGCTGGCATCTAGCAATGAAATAAAAAAGTCTAACTTATGCACCAATACAAGTTTCCTCAAAAACATCTAGGATTACACTCAGTCCTATTTCTAATTTTCTAACCTGGCACATTTTCTGACCTGAAACATTCTGTACACTTTTAAGTTAAGATACCTAAATAATCAGTTTAAGTTCCAGCCATGCAGTCATGTAATACTTTTTCCCACGATGCTGCAAAGTTACTATTTATTTATTTAAATTGTTTTAAAGCACTCTTACTCTTCAATATTGTGAATTCTTACCGATTTCTTCTTCAGTATAACTTTTAAAACAAACTTTCATTGGTGTAACAGCTACAGTTACTTCCTCTTGACAGTTTGGAAAATGAATCATTATATCAGTCATCAGCCTAAGAAATTTTGTATAGCATGTTAAAATAAGTTTAGACAAATTACTATCTATTCACATTAGAGAAAATATAGGCTGTTGATGATTACCCCCTTTTAAATGTGATTTAATTGTATTTTATTTCCTTTAGTATATGATAATGATTTTATATATTATGCTTCAATAGCGTATTAATATATTTTAATCTAAACAGTACTATTAAACAGTTAATATTGGGGATGTAAGGCTATGTCTACACAGCAAGCTTGTTATTGCAAAATAAATTAAAAATAATGGGCTTCATCCTCCAACTTCTGTAAACCTCATTGTATGAGAAGTAAGGGAAGTCAGGAGAAGATTGCTTTATTTTTAAATAACTGCTGTGTCGACAGTGCCAAAAGTTGAAATAAGCTATTTTGACGTAAGCTACACGATTAGCGTAGCTCAAATTGCATAGCTTTTTCCAGTTTAGTCCTGCTGTGTAGAGTGCCCTAATTGTTTAATCAATAAACATCAGCTTTTCAGTTTCCCTGCCCTGCAGGCATGAACCAGTTCCTGCCCCACGCTAAAGTAGAAGACTTATATGGCAGAGCCCATAGCATAACTGGTTACCCAGGCAGTCAGGAGCCAGTTTAGCACACAGTCGCTCTCAGCTACCAGCTCCACTTCTGGGGAGCTGGCTGCTGCCTCATGCTACAAGCTCTGTAGTATCAAAGCCTGTGCAGACTCATGCTGCCGGACCCTCTTGCTGGACTCTCTCTCCATGGTGGAGAGAGAGAAGTGGGGACTACACACCTTGCCTGCTGGCTTCTCTCAAGGTTGAGCTGAGCCATGTATGCCAGCCCATCTGCACTTCCTTATTCCAGGGATGGAGGGGGCCATGCAAGACAGCATTCCCTGGGCCCAGTCTGAGTGACACACGGGGGGACCTTGCAGACCAGCCCTTGCGGTGCTCCCCATGCCTGGTCTTGGGTACCGAGGGATGTGCATGCGCAGACCAGCCCCAGCAGAGTTCCTCAGGTCCGGCAGGTTGTGACTCCTCCAGGGGCACAAGCCTGCATTGCCTGGCCTGGTGGTGCTCCCAGGAGAGGGGGGGTACAATGGTGGGGTCAACAGGTGTAGGATTTGGGGTAGTGGGCCCACTTACCTGGGACAGTGTCTGACAAGATGACAAGCCTTGGCCCCAACTGGCCACTCCCTTCCTTGTATGGTTGCCCCCCTGTGGTCACTCTGCAGTACAGCTATCCCCCTTTCTCACTGTATCTAGTGGTCACTCTCCAATATGACTATCTCACTTATCAGCCCCCTCCCTTTCCATGTTATGGACAACAATCCCATTCCATATATATTCTATTTTCCTGGCACAACCAAATCCTGACCTTGCTTATGTTAGAATAAGAGGAAGTTGCATAACAAATTTGGTGGTCCTAGTTCTTACTATTTAGGAGGACTTCTTAAACAAATGGACTTGCAAATGGATGGAAAGACTCATGGACAGATGCACAAATCTCTCAAATATATATAGATTACAATGATCAATAATGCTAAAGAATCGTTAATGTAAGGTAAGTTGACAATGTAAAAATGAAATCTTACTCAACAGAAATGTTGAGTATCTCTCGCTTTATAAATAAAAAAACTTTCCTGTGGGATGACAGAGTGACATCGCCACCACCCACCTCCATCTTCAGCCACTTGCTGTGGTCAGGTTTGGCCTGTCCCCACTGGGAATGGGCTGCTCCAGCTCCGACTCCTGCTTCACACCCTGAGGGACTGCACCACTGGGAAAGAGCTGCTAGGGCTGGGTCCCCTCTGCCATCCAAGCCCGACTACCCCTCAGTGCCACGCTTGGTCTCCACCATTCCCAACCCCCGCAAGGCTTCACCAGGTCCCCTCCTCGTCTGACATCCCCTGCGCTGCACTAGATCTCCTCCATCATCCAAGTCCAACCCTTCCCCCACCCAGGCCATGCCAGGTCCCCTCTACCATCCAAGCCCAACCCCTCCCCATGGGCTGCCCCACATTCCCTCTGCCATCTGAGCTCGACACCCCTTCCAGCTTCCTAACCTCTTCTGCCAAGACTCTGCACCAGCAGCCTGCTCCTGCCGCTTCCCTTCTGGCCAGACACACATCCCCAGCCTGCTCCTGCACTCTCCTTCCTGGCCAGACATCCTGTCTGCAGCCCGCTCTTGCTACCTTTCCCCTGCCAAATACCTACCCCCTGAAAGAGGGTGATTGGCAAGCATAGCAAGCAGGGGGTGCAGCACCCCTTCTGCCAAGACTCTGCACCAGCAGCCTGCTCCTGCCGCTTCCCTTCTGGCCAGACACACATCCCCAGCCTGCTCCTGCACTCTCCTTCCTGGCCAGACATCCTGTCTGCAGCCCGCTCTTGCTACCTTTCCCCTGCCAAATACCTACCCCCTGAAAGAGGGTGATTGGCAAGCATAGCAAGCAGGGGGTGCAGCACCCTAGTATACAGTTAAAACTTATTTTTTTAATAAAAATACATTTTACTATCTTTTACCTTCCCCAGTGCTGTCACTAGTGAGGTGATTCATATCAAAACACATTCATCATCACCCACAGAATTGTTAACTAAGTTCAGCTTTAGAATCTTTATAATATCAATATAGCTGAAGCCAAAAAAACCCACTCAATTTACATACTCCAGGTGGAGCTTGCAGCTATGACAGTCAATCATCTTTTTTTTTAAATAGATAAAATTTAAACTAGAAGTAATGGAAAGGCAATAAATGTTGAATCCTGTAATTTTTTTACATAAAGCCACTTTTCAGAGTAGTGCAGCAATTTAAATAGTAGTTATAAAGTTTATAATTTTATTTTTAGATTCTTTTGCCTCAACTACTCAAGTATGTCTTTGGGATTTATGATATTCTGCAGAGCTTTTGAGAACTGCTAGTACAACTTTATATATTACCGATTTTACTCAGAGCTGGATCAGTGTCAGGGCTGATACAGCTCTGACCTACAGTCCCCAAGCTGTAGTATTATTTAGTATAATAGCATGAAGCTAATCAAACACTGATTATTGCTCTGACATTTAGATGCCCAAAATATATTCTTCCTTGATTCCCTTAACTGGACCTCCTCCTATATTATTTCTAAAACAAAATATATTTAATTCATTACCTTGATTGCACCTTTAGTACATTAGGACACATATTCTTTGAAAAAACAGCTTGTAAAGGTTCACTTTCATAAAAAGTCAGGTTATGAGTTTTTACAATACCTAAATATATAACATATGAATAGAAATTAACATGTGTTTTCATGCTATCTTAAACTTGACAAATATTAAATTAACACTTTCTTAAACTCAGTAAAACAACATTGACAACAAAGGTCCTATTCTCCCCTCTGTGGGAATAGATTGCCTAATTATAGGAAACACCATGAATTTCCAGTTTCCTAGGAATTCTTTCATAATGAAAAAAGCTGAAGGTTCCACTTTCCAAACTTGTGGAACTCAGGAATTCTGAGAATCTCGGTGAGCCACAAGAGAAAAGGGTCAGACATGTTAGCTTGCCAAAAATAAATCTGGTATTTGGGGTATAGAAGAGGCAGAATCCAGCTCTTAATATGTGGCTGGTATAACACTAATGAAAAGAAGCAAATAATAAAGAAGCTATTCAATAAATGTTTTTAGAAATCTTAATTATCATCTACTATTGCATACAAGTACAGGCAGTCCCCGGGTTACGTACAAGATAGGGACTGTAGGTTTGTTCTTAAGTTGAATTTGTATGTAAGTCGGAACTGGTACATATTGTAGGGGAAACTCTAGCCAAACATTTCTCCAGAGCTCAGTTTTATTCTCCCACACCTCACTTCCCTCAGTCCTTTATTCTCAAGCTGAGGTGTCTGCTGAGAAAAACCACTCCGCATCTCCCTGGTCTGCTGGGGGGAAGCAGCTAGTGCGGGGTTGCCTCACCCCGTTTGTAAGTAGGGATCCGATGTAAGTCGGATCCATGTAACCCGGGGACTGCCTGTATACCAAATACTATGAGGCCTGGGTTTTATGAAAGATGGTGTTTGGTGCTCTCTCTGGTGGATACAGTGAAATGTCACAGCCTAATTTTCACTATCAATGTATGTGTCAGAGTCTCTTTTCTCTACTATTCATATTAATAATTTGTATTAATAAAAATAAAAGATTATCAAACAAATAATCATTTGCTAATAAAATACAATTTAAAACCATTTTAAAAAAAGGAAAATTATATATTGTTACATTTTCTCAATTACATCTCTAAAATGCAAACTTTAAAACTTAAATTTAACCCAAACAACAAATTGCAAGAAATCTGTTATTTCAATGCAGCTCACTCAATAAGCTAGCACTAAATGAAACTTGTTGCCTTGAGCCTTAATATGTTATTTCCACTTATTAATATAAAATAGTGTGTTTCAAATTTTAGAAAATGCATTGATTTGATTTGAACATGTATATTAGGGATGTGAACAGGTAACCAGTTAAGTGGTAAGCATCACCTGCACAGGGCTAGGAGCCAGCAGTCCCTGTCCAGGATTCCACTTAATCAATTAACCAGTTAAACATTAGGTTAACCGAATATTTATCTGGTTGACTGGGATTTTACACTCCTAATGTATATGTGCTTATTTATATGGTTTTCCTAAAGTTAATTACATATTTTAGGAAAATTTGTTAAGAGTGGCCACCAGCAAGACTTGGTGGACAGTATATACTCTGACGCCACCAAAGATTTAGTTGCGAGAACCAAGAATTAGGTTATATAGTCCAGTGTTTCTCAACCTTTTTTATAAAGTACCCCTTAAAAAAATTATAAGTACCCTCAGTACCTACAGTTTTCAGACACACAAGATTTTACTCTACAATTGCAACACATTTGTTTCAACAACTTAATTGTAGCCAGGCAGGCAATGAAATTTTCAGGTGTAAAAAGTACAAAAATAATAAAATGCTGTAAAACTTAAAAACAAAAATGTAGTTTTTTCCGAATTTCAGTTGTGTTGATGTACCCCCCAGACTTTTCTCTAGTACCTCTAAGGGTACTCATACCACTGGCTGAAAAACACTGATCTAGTCCATCTAACTGTCAAAACAGGCTTTTTTCCCTATAACGCATTTTCAATCGTGTGTCCAACCTAGCTTTTAAATGTGCATGCAGCAAAGCATTCTCTATTTCCCCGATGAAACTATTTCATTATTATAACAGATTTCACTATCAAAGACTTTGCCTGATATTTTCTCTTTCTTAACTTCATTTAATTACTTCTAAGTACATCTTCTTGTAGTATCCCAAGACCTTTTCAAATGCATCAGTTTATTATGCTGGCAGTTTCTGAAGCAGCTCCTTTATCTCAGAATGGAGGTATCTTATGTTTCAGGAATTGAAGTTTGTAACTTCTATTCCTGATTCCACATCTATTTATTTGGATGATGAACACAGTATAGCATATATCACCATGGATTTTTCAAAAAATTTGAGGCATATAGTCATTGGCTGTATCTACACTGGCATGAATTTCCGGAACTGCTTAAAACGGAACACTATTCCATTTTCAGTTTTTCCAGAAAAGGAGCGTCTACATTGGCAGGCTGCTTTTCTGGAAAAGCCCTTTTTCCGGAAAAGCATCTGTGGCCGAAAAGACTACTGGGCTGTCTACACTGGCCCTTTTCCGGAACAGTGTTCCGGAATAAGGACTTATGCCCGAGCGGGAGCAGAATAGTTTTTCCGGAATAGTGGCTAATTTTGTACAGTAGAGCATCGTTGCTTTTCCGGAAATTCAAGGGCCAGTGTAGACAGCTCGCATCTTATTCCGGAAAAGCGGCTGATTTTCCGGAATAAGTGGCCCAGTGTAGACACAGCCATTATGTTTACAGTATAGGACCAGGTACATGAAAACAAACATCATTTATGATTATGATATGAAATTGTCATTCCCTCTACCAACACCTATTTTGTAGAACACAACTGTTAAGACAAAGGTCAGCAGCAGCTGACTTGGGGACGCCTGGGGTTCTTAAGTTGAATCTGTATGTAAGAACTGGCGTCCAGATTCAGCCTGTTGAAACTGATCAGCGTCTGATTCCAGGAAGCCCGGGGCAGAGCAACTCTGACTCAGGCTTCCTGTAGTCAGTCGCTGATCAGTTTCAGCAAAGCTGAATCTGGACGCCAGTTCCGACTTACATACAGATTCAACTTAAGAACAAACCTACAGTCCCTATCTTGTACGTAACCCGGGGACTGCCTGTACACTAGAACCTTGTAATATTACTAGCAGATGCACCCAGCATTGTTTGGGTCTTTAACTGATTTATTTAAATACATACAAAATGTACATGTTTTAATTTCAATTACTATTTTTATAAAAAGAAGGAAAATGAAGGCTGAAGTGAGGGTTTGGGGTAAAGAGAGGCATGGAGTGGCTTAGAGCAGAGGGTGGGAAGGTGTGTGCTGCTGCCCCCCCACCAAGGCACCG